CCCCCCCCCTCCCACACACACACACACTTTGGATTTTTAGAAAATATTCATTTTCATTTTATCTTTAATCCGCCCCCCTCCCCCGCTTAAGGTATATCTTCGGCGGAGAATCGTTCGCGAAATATCCTCAGGACTTTGTTCGCGTAAGATCATCAGAGGGAGATCGTTCGCGATCCTAGCTAGACGAAAAGGCAATTTTCATATCTTCATCGGGAGATTGTTCGCGATGTAAGCAATAATAAAATGCACTTTTCATATTAGTTCAAGGAACTTAGTTTGCCGAAGAGCGTCAGTGGGAGATCATAATTTTAACCCCCCTCCCCGCTAAGGATAAAAGCCCAAAGGCCGGATTTTTGAAAATTTCGTCACACCCAGGAGTCGGGGAGAGGTAATTTTGAAAAATTAGTCGGATTTACACAATTAAAATTATCAATTAATTTTTAAGCGACGAAATTTTCAAGACTTTACCGTAATATTGGGGGCATTGCTTAAAGAAACTATTTTACTGACATTATTCACTGAATTTTAACAGTAAACAGGCTTTGGCATCATTTGTAACGAAAAGGCTGAAATATGTAGAATTATAGATGTGTTATAAATATATAATATTTACAGTTAAACTGAACCGATTGGGAATTTTACCCATTGTGTTGACTATTTCGTAACAGTGACATTCACACCTACCGCAATTGTGGTCTGAAACTCCACTGCGGGCTACTATACTGATTATGTTGACTATCGTTTCCGTGAACGTTTTAACAGAGGCCAGGGTGACTGGATACGGTTACATTGATGTCATATCAAACCACATCCAAGCACAATCACTGCCTAACACATTCAGCTTCTGGAATTCAGCTATCCAGCATAGCGGTGCTGCGAAACAATCATTTTCGATCAGCATTCGAGATCGGGGTGTAATGCGATGGACTGAACTGACAGTCTGTTTCTGTCTGTTTCTTGCAAAACTTTCAATGCCCAGTCCCACATGTCAGTTATTAAGATATGTAAGTCCTATTCACATGTGTAAAAGAAAGTAGGTAGCTAACTATCCCACTACAGGACCTTCCAACAACACCCAGACTAATATAGTGTAAACAGTGGCGAATTTAGGGGGGTGTCAGTGGGGCCCCGATTCTCCTTAGGTTTCTGAAATAAATATATCATATCAACATTCCCCTCTTGATATTAGAATTTTGGAGAGCTGAATCATAGTTCTAAACTGCACCAAATGGCACCGCTTGCCCTCCAAAACACCGAACCCCACACCAAGGGGGAAAGAGTCGGCTTCGCATCCGAGGCCTGAACGTCATTCTTAAAAAAAAAGACCCCTCCCCCTTCAAAAAACCCTGGACCCGCCCCTGGAAAAGGCACCCTCTTCACAAGAGAACAATGAATGATTCACGGAATCGCTAAAATAGACATTGATTTCACATGGTATCAAAGAGATTAGAATTTTTTCACAATATGGTACAAAGAAGCGCTCAATTATTAAGCATATATGCTCGGGCATAAGAGCCTCAAAATATGCTGGATCACAGAATTCTTCACAGCCGCAAAAAGCTGTAGTATAAAGACTGCATCAAACTGGGATATTTCATATTTGTCTCTTTGAATTATTGGTAAATTCAAATTTATCAATAAATTAACTTTTTGGTCCTTTTATTTTTGAACTATTAAAGTTAGTACACCGTTGAAAAGGTATGCAAATTGTATGAAACAAACTTTATAGATATAACTAGATTTAGCAAGATGGTATAGGTGGTACGCCTTTCTCTTTAACATCACTGACATTTTTTCTTTCAGTTTTTTAATTCATTAACTTATTTATCTCTTTGATTTCAGACTTGCCAAGAGGAGTTAAATATTGGGCCTGATTAAAATACCACTTGAGATGGGGGTGGTAGAGGGGTCCATATTGATATGAACCAGTCAGTATGACTATGCTATAAAAAAAAAAAAAAAAAAAAAAAAAAAAAAAAAAAAAACGACCGTCATTAGGCCCCTGATGGACTTTTTATATTATAGGACTAAACAAAACTTCACTACATGAAAAAGTGTATGTAGAGAATATATGAAGTTTGGCATTCTCGACTTGCAATAGCATTCTGCTGCAATGTCGACTAAAATAAAACACTGACCAAATGTTTTGCATAGTAACAGGTACCAAGGCGGTCTCCAGTTTATCTCTTCGGCTCATACAAGATGCGTCGGCTGCTATTGCTCCTGCTGCCCTCTTGCGGGCTTAGTTTATTCAGTCAAACTGTATGCATAGGGAAGATGTTTTATAACGGGAACAGCCTTTTCTATGCGTTTTCCTCACTATTTTACTATCTATAAAGTTAAAATTCTCATCCTAGCTCACGAAAATAATTTCAAATTCATTAGGAATCTTCTTGCAATGCGATAAACTACAGGAGGACTTTTTCCGCATAAGCACACAACATCTGGTCTGCGAAGAGAAATTGAGTAAATATGATTGCGTGCTCAATAATATGAAATTGTCCTAAGGGATGACGTCAGTACCCAAACCCTTGCAGCGTATTAAGGCTGTTACATTTACTCCCCGTCATGTTTTTAAGTGTATTTTTTCTTTTTCAGATAACTTCTGTCGATGGTGCAATAACAGAAGATTACCACAAGCAGTTTCTTTACAATTTAAAGGGTAATACACAGTTTGCCTAAGTCTAAAGTGAAAGTCCTTGTTTATCAGCCAGGTGTTCAGAGGGCGGCTGACAGAACAGCTAATTGCAATGGCAGAATTGAAAAGAATGCCTCGGACGCCTTACTCACCACCGATCGTCTCTTCCGCCAAAGTGGACAATTTACGTTAAAGAATCCCTGAATTTCTTTAACTTCTGACGTCTGCTTTTTATGAGAAATTGTATAGGTAGAAACTATTTGTGATTGAAAGGAAGAGTAAAGGAAGGGAAAAGCAGTGCGTAAGAATCAAATGGACGTTATCGGAAAGTATCTAGGTTGCGTATGAATTCCCGTACTAATCTCCTGTATTCCCGCTATTGATGTGTAGCACATAATAGCTTGTGTATGATAAAACCATACTGCCATTAGGCGAAGTTTTACCCATAGCTGAGCAGTGACCCAGTTAAACTCACGTGTGTTCCAAGTTTTCCAAGTGATCGGGAAGACTCGGGATGGAGTAGGGTGAGATCTAAATATGTTTATCTTACTTTTCCTGGCCTTTTTTCATAGGGTGTGCTCTCTAGAACTCTGTGCACGATTACTTGTCATTCAGAACAAAAAGGACACTTTGATTAGACGCTGCACTTGTGTACTCTTCTTTTTAGGGGTACTGTGAACGGAGGATGGATTCCGTAAGTATAGAGGATGGACCGGCCCCTATGATGATGAACAATAAACTCCGATCGCCGCAGCAAAATAATGACTCTAATAACAGCACAATGGACTCCTTCCAAGATGGAGGACAGCAAAATATGACTGATAATACGAATGACTTTCCTTCTAATTTAGAGGCCCCACATATGAATGCAGACTCAAATAGTTTCCCACAGAGTGGCGGAGACGCCGGGGGAGGGCCTCAGTATTTCAACATGAAGCCCGATGGGTTAAATCCGGGACAAATGCACGGGTACAACAACTCGTACAACAACAGGGGTCATATGGAACAACATGGCGGAAACGGAGAATTCTCGCCTCAGACTAACCAATACGGACAGTATGGACAGCAGATGAGATCTGGTTACCCTCCAGGCATGAGAGGCCCTGTCCCTGTCCAGGGGCGTCCCATGAGCAATATGAACCAAGGCCCCCCTCAGTACGGTGCTGGCCCTCAGAGATTCCCAAGCATGAGTGGACAAAGCATATCTCAACAGGCAGGGCCAACCCCAACTCTAAATCAACTTCTACAGTCTAATAGTCCTGCCAACCAGCAGCAGACCCCACAACAGCGCTACCAGAACAATTTCAATGGGGGGATGGGAGAAATGGTGCCAGGCAGTGGGAGTCCTTCTTATGGCCAACCCCAAAACTGGCCCACAGGGAACAGGGGGATGAACTCTTTTGGGCCACAGGGACCCATGCCATCACAAGGATTCCGTAATCAGGTAAATAACCAACTATGAGTGAACTTGCTTCATGTATAACTATTTTTAAGTGAGGATATTTCAGTGGTTTTATAAGAAAAATGGTAGGATTTTGATTGTCATCTTGTAAACTTTGGTCATGGTTAAAATGATGTGCTGTTTCTATCCATGGGTAATTCTACAGTGAGTGATATACCAAACATGTGCTGTCATGTTTGCTTGAGTGTCTGAGAAGGGATTTAAATTTGGAGGCAAAATGCTTTGCTTTGAAGACAGCTGGTTGATTGTGCTAATGCCCTTTCCTGATTGGCTGCTTGTTCCTGCTAAACAATCAATTAATCTTGGTTGTCATAAAAGGTGCCCATTCATCAACTATCTACAACCTAGTTGTCCAATTTACTATAGACTGGCTTTTTATTTTCATTCATGTTTTTTTTTTTTTGGGAGGTTTGAAAATCTATAATGTGTGATTTGTGGGTAATTTATTTTCATTTAATGAATTTTTACAGAAAATACCCAATTTCTGTACACAACCTATAGAGATGACACATCTTGTCTCTCAGTGAGTAATATAAGTGAGTTATACAAGAGAAGTATAGTGTTAATACATGATTGGTCACTGAAAATATAGAGTTAACAGAATAGTTTGCGTGTTTCTTCATTTGTTATAGCAAATAGTAAGGTGCTTTTCTTATTAGAGAGAAGTTGTAGGATATACAACATCTGGTCCCAAAAGATAAAACATTTAAGTGTGTAACATGTATTTGTATGCATTTGGGATATTCATTTGAAGTGAAACCTGGTTATTATGTCGCAGTTTTTAAAATATTTGTATTCTTAAACTTGAAGGAGTGGAGGCCATATAAATATCACCAGAATAACTCACTCAAATACAGTTTTGTTCAATTTTTATCTATATTTATCATTAAAAAACTGAGTTCCATGTATTAGTTATTAATGCCATATTTGTGTTTGTGTGTCAAGATGCACATGAGTGCCATATTAAGATATGATTTTATATGGTTGAAAAATGCCCAATAAATGTTTACAGTTTAAAGATAACAAAAAATCTAGCACATGGTGTAGGAAACCTTATCAACCATACAGCTGGAGTCTTGATCTAGAGACTGAAATCTGTCATGAGTAGTTGCCCAGTTATAGCATGTTTGGTACTTCAAATTTAAGCAAAAAGGGCATGTTCAGTTTAGCATGCATGGTAAAACAGCAAGCAAAATAATCTGCCACAAGTGATGGAAATTTAGTTTGGATGAAGAATTTATATTGTCATTGCTAATTTTTGTATCAGAATTTATAGTGCATTGTAGAAAATCCCACAAAAAGATAAAGCAATTTATGAATAGAAAAATAAAAAAAAGTGATATATTATTGAGTGAAATAACATTCCAGTAGCTGTCTTCTTAAGTGTTGTTTTATATGGAGCTTTAAATGATCATCTGTTACAAGTTTGAATTCATAAAAGAATTTAAAAAAGAAGGCTAATATTATTTTCTTTTTACAACAATCACAATCACAACAATCAGAGAGTTGTCCTTTTTCATATTTAATGAATTTAATAATGTTTACAATTTACCCTATAATTGTCAGTGTGACTCTTTTTTTTTAAGAAGGCAAAATGTACAAAAGGCCAAGAATGCTGTTTATTATAAAATGTTCAATTTAATCATGAAAAAGTAGATTCATGAATTTGCCTTTATTTTAGTACAAATTAAAGTAAATTATTAATCAAATTGATACGCATGATGTATTAATAGAAGATGCACCTTTCATTATTAAGATCTCAGGAAATATACTTTGTCTTGATGCTGACAGCCATGACAGTTTTGTTTTAAAATTTGAACTGAAAATGAAACTGCATTCTTTTTACATTTAAAGTTTGTGGGTGGAAGCCGGGGCCCAGTAATGGTAGCAAATGTGTTTGCTCTGGTAGGGAATTATGCTAATTAGCCATGTGCTTTTATACCGGCTCATTGACAAACAGGGCTAAAAATATCCCTACATTTACACTCATTGATTGTAAGTGATAACAAAAACTCCTTGTACTTAATCCACCAGTGTATTGTAATAATTACTTAAGACTTGCAATGTGTACATTTTGACCTCTTTATTATGATAAATCATGAGGCATGCTGTGATACGGTAATACTCTCCTCACTGGGCCAGGATTGGCCAGGTGAAAATGACTTTTGTTGTTATTGGTGTTTGAAATCTATTTTCGATTCATCATTTGAAAGGTTTGCTTTGTAATTGAACATGTGGCTTTTTGTGAATGAATAGTGGAGCACCTAGCATGGCTGACCTCTTTTCTTAAAAGGTAACTTGACAGCAGGTTGGCGGCTCTGTTTACATGATACAAGCGTGGTTCTTATTATAGCATTCAATCAAATAGCACCAGTATGTTTTAAAAAGGAAAGGGGTTTCCTGACCTTTTGTTTTGTAATTGATAACCTTGCACTTAGTAACCAGGTTGACATGAGCTGGATACATGGGGGAAAGTAGGAAGTGGAAAGATCACTCAAGCAGGCAGTATTATGGAGTAACATTTATCAGTTTCATTCATAAAAGCCACCTGTCTGAAACACAGGAATGTCAATTGGCCTAGGCTGTTTTCAGGTGTCCGACCTTGGAAAGTAGTACCTGTAAACACCTGACATTCTCACCTGCAAGAACACACTTATAGAATCATAATGGGTAACAAGGGGGCTTGCTTGCACCATACGTATATCTGTGAGTTTTGTTTGGTGGTTACAATCTTTTAAGAAATCAGTGTGAATTTTGCAAGCACGAAGCATATTTATTTTTTTTTTTTGCAAAAGTTCTGAACACAGTCGTCATAATTTCAGGGTGGTGGTCAAATGTTTGATCCAAGTCAGCGTCGTTCTATGAACATGCCACCGGGCTACCCAGGTAACCAATATGGCGACTCCCAACTTTCACCTAACTCTCAGCGCTTCCCAGTGCAGTCACAAGGCCATGGTCGCATGGGGCAGATGGGCATGGGCAACCAGGCATACGGCCAGGTAAAGACATATGTTCAAATTGAATATGTGTGGTCACTTTGTGTTGTTTGAATGTATGATTGAGATGTACAGGCATGGTGTGCATTTAAATATGATCTTTTACTGTTATATGTATTTTCCTGAGCATACAAAAATCAGAATCTTGACAATCACATCAGAATAAAGCTGCATAATTTCACCTGAAAAGGTTAATAGACTATTCTGCTTTCTGCAGATGCCTTCTCAGTATAATTTGGCAAATCAGATGGGCTATGGCCAACATCCGACTCAGCAATACATACAACCGCCGCAGTCCCAGCAGCAGCAACATCATCAGTCTTATATGCAACAAATGCCAAATCAATCTGTGAACTCTCAGGTACAGAACAAATCTATACCTTTTGTTCCAACCTGTATCTCTAGTCCAGCTACTGTGCTGCATGGGGCATGCTGATTGTTTGCTTGATGGAGACTGCTTCCATCTGTGACCAGCCAGTGCATGCTTGTAATTCTTTTTTGCTGCTTGTTGTGTCTTTTGTATGATTCCCTATCTAAGAACCTTGTACTTGGTGATTATAAAATTATACTTCCCCAAAAGAACTACCTCGATTTCTTGGTTTTGCAAGATATAATGGAATAATGAATATAGATTGATTCCAAGACATCTGACCAATAAACTGACTAATGGGTAAATAAAAAATGCTTTCTGATAACTATGTTTGATTTAAAAGAAATGATGATACTAAAGTTAAAATGAACACATGTTTGTGTGATAGAAGCGTGGGTCTGAAGTGTATCTCATCATACTATTCTTCTGCACATTGCACTAACCTCACTTCAAGTGTATTAAAAAAAATAAGTGCTCAGAAAGAGTTCATGATAAAACCATATTATCATAGAAATATTATTGTCATAGCATTTTCAACACAAACTGTGTCTTTGTATCAGACCCAGGGATCTGTTCCAAGTTACAAGGGCACTGGATATAGTTTTAAAACGCTAATTCATTGCATGATGCCAGATGTAGTAGACTATGCACTGTGACTTTTACATTATCTCTCAGACTACTTTTTATTTTATTGAAAGTATCCATTGTGGCATTTGCTTTCAAATGTCTCTGGTTTAACAATTGCATAAGTTTTGTTTGGTAAATGGTTCCCTGGGCCTGCGTGGGGGTAGGGGTTACATTCTTGGTATTATGGTCCTCCTAAACTTTGCAGGCATATGTTGCCACCAGGACACCAAACAATGGTAAAATGGTCCTTCAACAAGATGGAGATCTACCGGTAAGAAAGAAAGTGCTTGCTTTGATAATCTCAGAAATTACATGTTGATGTGGATTGCAGTGCGATTATTGAGTATGATTATGAGTCGAGGCAATGAAAGAAAAAAAACAGCAAGCAGATAAGCTGAGATGTCCCTACCCCTCTGCAAAGATTAAATTCATGATTTAAGACATGGTCTTTTTATGTTAAATCTTTTCTCTAGAGTTGTTTCTGCTTTTATTTATTGGCTTTGACTTTGTTGAGAATATATGTCCTTGTAGATTTGAACTATGGGGCTTTGCTTCAGAATTTTTCTTTTGTATATTTTTGCATGTGTGATATCTTGTGCTTCAATATGTGAATGTTCAAAACTTAAAAAATTCTCCACCATATTGGAATGATGAGTATTTTATTGTTATAGACAGTTAATGGTATTTACAAATGTGTGATTGTGCTGGCTTAGTGGCTATGTTGTTTAGGTGATCTCCCTTCTCTAGCAGACGATTAGAATTTTTCTACCTATGTTGTGCCAGTAATTAACCTTATTGATTAACTAGAGAATGAATAAATGTCAAACAAACTACTACATTTCAATAAAACGTACAAAAGTAAATAAATCAAATTTATGTAAAAAATGTATCTGTAAATAACTTGCAATTTGTGTAAAAATACATATCAGATGAATTGAGAAAAGCGGCAAAATTCAAAACTGCCTTTGTGCTAAGACTTAGTCATATGTACAACAGAAAGAATGCTCCCTTGCTTTGCACGCAGCTTAACCAAGCAGTCGGGACTACTTTCCATGCAAATTCATCCGACCTATAAATAAACTATGATATGGAATGGAAAATGTCCACAATAAAACCTCCCTTTAAGCACCTCCATGAAAAGATGCTAGTAAACTGCCTTCAAACTTTGTGTGCCTCTTAAGTAGGAAAATAAAGTGGGGCTAGTTTAGAGAACTGGTCGGGTTTATAAAGGTTGGGAATTAGCTGGGAACCAGTTCTGCATAAATTGACAGCTGTGTGATAAATGAGCGCAATGCATTGTGCCTAGTGCTTATTCAGGTTGCTGCGCCAGTATGGAAATTGTGTCTGCGTGAACTGTGTGCTTGGCATATAGGATTTCCTTTTAGCCAATTGATTGCAAGGGGAATTAACAAACATGACTCTAGAAAAGAATATGAGGATGAAACAAAGTGAAAGAAGGGTGAATTGAGGTTTTAGTTAAGAAAAGTGTAAGTTTTGAGATTTGATGGGGAAAATGAGGAGAAAATATCTGATTTCAATATTGACCTGTAAAGGTTGTTTTATATGGCTTAGTCATGAATATACCATGCTCATGTGGGAAACAGGATTTTAGAAGATTGCTGCTGTTTAAAGGGAAGGAAAAACTTTTTAATCTTGAAACTAAGTTATTTATTAGTTAAGGAAGTGTTGACAAAGTAGTGATTTGTATTTGATTGATTTTTTGGGGAGATAGAATGAAAGGATGTTTGGTCTATATTTAGTATGGGCTGAATTCATATTATTGATGCAGTGAGTGGAAAGACATATTTTTCTCTTGTTTTTCAACTGTTCATTGAGTGTTTTGATTTGGAAGAAAGATGTCACATGTAAGGGGATAAAATAATGTTGATGACAATGTGTTTTTGTAGAATTTTTATGATAGAATTCACTTTGCTAGGATGTTTTGCACCTGTGACCTTTGTTATGGCTCAAGTCTGCCAAGCAAGCTCTTTGTTTCAGACGGACACAAAGCTTAAACTTAATGAAAAGGGATTATTTGCTGATGTTTTGGCAACTTTAAATTAGAGATAGGATAATGTTAGACAAATTTTATATATTTTGTCCAGATTATGATTAAAAACAAAGAGCTGTTTACATTAAATATTCATACATTTGCATATAAGCTTTGTTGGGAAGCAAAGAGACCTGATGCCTATTTATTTATAATATATTTTTTTGGTTTTCATGAGAAATCTTTGGATAATTTTGTTTTATTAATTATTTTGAATCTTTTTCTCATTTAATTGTACAAATAATGGTTCATAATTTTTGCATTAAAACTATTTTAAATATTTATGCAATTGGTGCATTTTGAGAAAAAAATTCCATTTTGGCTTTTAAAATTTTTATTGGAAATGAGCCATGATGAAAATAATTCGTCATTGATTTTGATTTTTAAAAGACAGTGACACCTTCATACATGGTGAAGAGAACTGCTGCTGGCAATTTTGTGTATTCTTTCAATATCTTTTGATGAGAAACCTTATTGTGAGCCAGATTGGTCATCAGAGCTTTCATATTTTTTTCTGTGCTCCAATTTCTTTGCCAATCAGAATTTAGTTCAGTGCCTTCCCTTGAACAATAACTCTTTGCAGACACTTTCTTCATACGGGGGAATTGTATGGTGTTTACTTGCACTATGCTGTACTTGTATGTTTGTATTCTTTTCTTTACTTGGCAGGTCATTCTCAGCAGTAGGGCTAGCTAGAAGCAAATTGGAAAAGGGGGCACTGGTTTGAAGAAAATGACAATATTTTGGGGTTTATAAAGATCATATTGTAATAAAGTATAAAATATTGATTAAAAAGTATGCTTGGGGTCAGTGAATTTCATGGGAGTTTAAGTTTCTGTATGATGAAAAAGAAAAGAGTTGAGCATATTTAGAGGTTCGTTCATAGCCTGACTTAAGTCAAACAACACCAACTTGTGTTTTATAAAGAATAAAATTGAGAAGTGTGGAAATAAGTAGACTTAAATGTATGCTTAGGTCTTATTAAATCGTGTTTTATAAAGATTTCAAAAGATTCAGATGAAATGAAAATATTTTGAAATCTTAAGATGGTTTGTTTGTAGAATAGTGATTGTCTGTATTGGCCAGAGTTAGGATTTGGACTTTGTGGTCTGCATGTATGACCACAGTTTAGATGGCACAGGTACTGCCCTGTCAGAATGTGGACTTCATTTAATATCAAACTTCTTAAATTTTCTAAAGTTCACCATTTCCAAACAGAGACATAGCCTATGCTTATAAGCAGCATGGAACAGTAGGCAATGGAACAATATAACTTATCATTTATCTTTTTATTGCTAATAACTACTTAACTAACTTTCTGCTGTGTTCAGTATTCTGATGGTTACTTTCAGAATAATACACATTGACCATTTTGAGATTGTCTGAATGAAAGTTGGTTAGCAGATGAGTTTCATGTGGTTACCACATCAAAGATGAACTTATGCATAACATATTATTCATACCAAAAATTATTATCAATGAAAGAAAGAAAACATGGCTGTCCAAGTGTATGTGGGAAAGTCTTGTATATCTCAGCTTACTTTGTAGAAGTGGCATTTGTCTGAATTTGTTTACAAATATTTTTTTGTACATTGCGATCACCCTTTCATTTGTAGGATCTCTCTGGCAGTTTAGACGACCTTAATTGTGATAGCAACAGTAACAGCAGTACTGGACCACCTCCAAATGCACCCACACCAACATCATCTGGCGCAGCAGGAATATCCCCCAGTCTCCGACCAGTCCAGTCACCGGTTGGCTCCAGTGGATCCCGCTCCAATACGCCAGCCTCTCTACCAGGTGAGGAGTTGGTGGGGCTTGAGGGGCCTCAGTTTTATTATTATTATTTTCACAAGTCTACAAACCATACACTTGGGGAGGGAGGGGGTTGATGCCCTCTGTTGCCTTTTTAAAAATATTGAAAAGTGTTGATCCAAGTTGCTGTCAAAGGTCATTTCAGCTTTTCACTTTTTACTCTCTGAAGGGGGTGCACAGGGGGTCTGAATAAAGACTACTCTTTGTTGACTTGTAAAAATGACGTTGCGTCATTCGGCCATTTTATGTGATGTTAATGTAGGACCATGGGTTGTATATTTTCAATTTCTGTTTCTGATCAGATGTTTTGAAAATAGCTTGAAAATACCTTAGAAATGCCCTAATTTTACTAAAGAATTATCATGTTTACAAATTGGCCATGTTTCCTCCACGTGACTGTGCATTGGTGTGATAGTTGAGATGGTCATGATTGTGAGGTGCATTTAAATGCAATACATGCTTTCAGAAGCTCACAATATCATATCATTACAGTCCATAATATATCATTGCAGTCTGAGATATTATGGACTGAAGAAACAATTCAGTGTTTAATGGTAGTATTGCAGTGACTTGTGTTGACCTCACTGTGCTGCTATTTAACAGTAATGTATCTTAGGGGTATTCAAACTTTTATAGCATCCTTAAGTGATGACAAGATTCACATACCAAATCACATTCACATATCAAATCACCCTTAATGACTGAATTTCCATTTCTTGTGAAAGTGATGAAGATTTAATTGTGAATTGTGATGTATTGAACCACAATAAAAAACCTAGTTGTTGTTTTTCAGGAAATCAGGCTGGCAGTCCAATGCCCCCTAGACCCCCCTCTAACCAATTAGACAGTCAGGTGCGCATGAGCCAGTCACCCATGCAGACTCAAGGTAAACTAATGATATTTATAATACCTTAGAGAAACTTCTCAAATATTTCCTATATCTTTTAACTCCAAAAATTCAAACGTATGATTAGTCAGTCCTTATGGTTAAGATTTCTCCCCAACAGAAGGGTCAAGTTTATATAAACCAACAGGCCTTCATGCTATCGTTTCTTCAACTTAAGAATATTAATTCCTCTATTTCTGTCAGGTCTGAACCAGCAGATGATGCCCCCACCCATGGGGCCTAGTCAGATGAATTATGTGGGCAATAAGATGCACAGTGGGGGAACAATGATGGGCAGTCAACAGATGGGACCCTACAGTCAGCAAGGACAGCAGTTTCAGCAAGGTAGAACACACACTCTGCTTGGCTCCTAAGATGAATTTTAAGCGCCATGTCAGAATAACTTTTGTTGTGCTTAAGTGACCTTTGTATATTTGATATCACATTGTAACCTTTTGTTTTGAAAGGGAATAATGCCTTCTTTATTTCTTTATTTACTCTAAATCAACATTTTATAAAACTTTCAGGAAACTTTCCAAGGAGTCAGAACATGCAGGGCAACTATGGCAGCCCCCAGAATAACTACCCAAACCAGATGGGTTCAGCTCCTATGTATGGTGGCAATATGGCAGTGAACAGGGGCATGCAGAACTCTGGTTTTGGCAATAACTTTCCACAAGGTAGTGGCAACATGAACATGATGAACAATCAATATGGAGGTTATAACAATATGGGTCCAAGTCACAATATGCCAAATAGTATGTCAAATAGTGTGGGTAGCATGAACTCCATGCCAGTGAATTCTGGAAACTCTATGGGAATGCAAGGTCCACCTGCTCAAGGTGCACACAAAATAGCACGCGAAATCCTTCTACAAGCGGCCAATTCGGCAGTTCGTCCTGGTGCTCCTGGTTATATGCGCCCACCCCAAGGGTTGCCCCCTCAACAACAGCAGCAAGGCCCCCGTATGGCAGGCCCCCATGGCATGAACCAGTACAATTCCATGAATCAGATGCCTGGAAATTCTATGAACCAGATGCCGTACAATAACACTGACATGGGAGGTGAAATGCCACCAAGTCTAGGGTCTGGGCAGAGTATGTCTAGTACCATGCCACCTAGTTCAAGTAGCATACCCTCTGGGGCAGGGACTAATAATATGACTAGTAGCAGTAATATAGCCAGCAGCATGTCCAGTAGTAGTGTATCTAGTGGAACAGGGCCTTCTAACAATATACAGAATACAAGTATGCTCAGTGCAAGTGTACATGCATCTACAAGTATGGCAATGGCTACAAGCAGTGCAATTTCAAGTCTGTCAAACACTGGTGTGAATAATAGTACAGATGGAGGTGACAGCAAAGCTCCAGTGAACAACTTTTCATCAGGTATGTGAATGAATAGGGAATTTATCATATTTTTCAACCTGGAGGAACTTAAGTCTTTTCCACTGAGAAACTTTTGTGAAGATAATTTTCAGAAAATGGAACCTTAGAATATATCACATCTTGAAATTAATCATTTATTGTTACAATTAAGCATTGTGCTTTATTTCCATGTTTCTATTTTTGCTGGCTAGACTTGTCTGATCCATGAGTTATTGAAGAATACAGATAGTTACAAAATGTATCTTTGTCTTCCAGGCACAAGTACTTCTGTGACCCAGAGCATATCCCAGAGTATATCGGCTCCAGGGCCTGGGCCAATGGCTAATGATACCATGTCAGGCGACAACTCTCAGGACACAGTTACCTCACAGACGACAGAAACAGAGGAAAAACCCAAGCCAAAGGTATAATTTTCACAGAATGTTTCATGTTTCTTCGGTTTGAACAACGGGGATAGTGAAGTAGTCTGTCTGACACTTACATATGCTAGAGAAAGTTGATTTTAGGAATTAAGAATGGAGTGGGGTTGGGGATGGGGGGCACTTATGAAACTGATATGTGAAGAGACCTGGATTGTTAGCTCAAAAATGGTCTCTGAAAAATAAAAATTGATATCCTTTGCAGGAAATAAGTCACTTGAATTTGGACGAAAATTTGCAAGACATTGTGATAAAAATAGTAATTCTCATTGTTGCAGAATGAAAGTGTGTCTCACCCACCAACCCCAGCCAGTATAGTGGCGCCATCTCCTGGAGCTGGCAGCATGTCATCATTCCATGATGATCTAGAGAACATCAGTAGTCCAAGCTGGCCGGGAACGCCGGTAACTCTTGTAAATGATTTTATTTATAGAAGTTTGTGAAATTATAAACTAGAGACAAAGCCAGTATTCACATGCAAAACCACACCAAAACATGCAGCATTGCAGTCACACTTATGTGAGCACTGAAATTTGCACTACTGAGGATAAAAACATGTTTAATTATTTAGTTCTAAAAACCCTAAAATGTTTTTTAACCTATTGGAGATCATCCAAGACAACCCTAAGTCTTGTGACTCTGTGTAAAGTCGAGCAAGATTTCCTGGATTTTTAGGACAGTTTTGTCAGAAATTAAGACAGACTAACAAGTGCTGTGCAGCAATAATTAAAAGCTGATAATTTATCCTTGGGGATTTTCTGGAAGTTCTTTTGCACATAGATACCTCATGCAGATTCTTGCAAGTTTTCTGGTCTTAAACAGTGTCATACTGTGCCAACATTCTCATTTTAGGCTATCTTGGATGATCCCTATTGCTGTTGCCTTTCTTTAATAAGTAAATAATTTACATCCAGCTGTTCTCATGAGTTATGAATTAAATAAATGTAAATTAAATTCTTATCAGATATGTGGTCTTAAGTGAAAATTTAGTTTAGCTTTATTGCTTACCTGCAAAGCTTTTGGTTACCTTATGTACCAGTTGGCTTTTTGAAAAAAACTTTCATCATAATCACCTTCTGATCTTTTCATTTCAGAAAAATGGTAAAGACAGTGTCCTAGTTGCTTTGTATGATTTGGGAGAAGAGCCAGAAAGAAAGACATTCCTTGACAAGCTTAATGCCTTTGTAGAGGAGAGGGGCACTCCATTCACTACAGCTCCCACCATGAACAAGCAACCTCTAGATCTCTTCAAGCTCTATAATGCTGTCAAAGAAAGAGGAGGGGTGGCAGATGTGAGTTCATAGTCTTAAATCTGGCAATTTCTTGTAAAAACTCATTTCTAGTTTGACCCTAACTAGATGACATAATGAAAGTAATGACAAATCATTATACCAAATATGCTGTATTTTGAATTTTTTGATAAATATACTGCCTTCCCCCCCCCCCCCCCCCAAAAAAAAAAAAAAAAAAAAAATTCACACTTCACTGTTCATCTTTTTTCAGGTGACAAAATCCAAGAAATGGAAAGAAGTCTGTGGTGCTCTGGGCGTCAGTGCTAATGCTGGCTACACTGTGCGGAAGCATTACCTCAAGTTTCTGCTTACCTTTGAGTGCCGCTTTGACCGTGGTGGTATTGATCCACAGAGTGTAATAACACAGATAGAGAACTGTACACAGTCCAAGAAGAGGGACAGAAGTGCTGCAGCACAAGGTAAGAGAGATACTCCCATGGTTTTATGAAGTGACCGAGTATAGCAGTCAGATATATATATTATGTCATACCAATTTAATTGATCTACAAAGCTATGTCCACATAAATAAATTCTACATATTTGGTCCTTGAATAGTGATTGTAGAAGTCACTGAATGAGTCATTTTCATTGGTACACTTTTATGGGAAATAATATCGCAATGAACTGTATTTAAATTCATGAAAATTGATATTATTTAGTTGGCAACAACATGGTGAGGCCTCCCAGTGTCCAGAGCCATAACAGTATGGACAACTTTTCTGGTATGCCACATGGAGGAATGGGACAGATGTCCGAGATGAATGGGCCTACAGGATATCATGGACACATGGGTATGCCTAACGCCATGGGGCCTCCTAACACCATGGGAATGCTGGGTCCAAACGGCATGGGGCCCAACATGCCACAGAACAACATGGTGCCCAACATGGGGCATGGTGGCATGATGGGTGGAAATCAAGGAGGTATGATGGGGAATAATGCAATGATGCCAAACCATACAGACAGTGTCAAGTTGTCAGATCCTTTCTCAGATGAAGCCATGGGGCCTAGTCAGTATCCAAGAAGCTCCATGGGTATGAACACACAGGTTCCACCTTACTCTGGCTCCACCATGAACATGGCAAATTCTAACACTCAAATGACACCACAGTCAGGGATGCAGACAAGTATGGCAAGTTCATTCAACTCCAGGCCTAGTATGGGGGGCAGCGGCGGCGGACCAGGCTTCCCAATGAATCAGAACAGCATGGTAGATAATTATCCCAATGAAGTCCCCAATTTGCCGGCAGAAAACCAAATGCAGTTCCAGGAAGGATTCCCAGGGAATCGTGGGATGCAGCAGCAAGAAAGTTACCATAGCAACCAACAAGGCAGCATGAATCAGTTTGGAAATCAGTTTGAGAACAGGTAAATTTGATTATTAATACACATTTCACAGGGTTAATATGAAGTTCATTTAGTGGTTGGCTCTAGTTGACATTGGTTAGTGTTAGGGGTATACTTCAGGCTACCCTAATTTTGCTCCCACTCAAATGACAATAAGTTGGAATACCACTTTTCTGGTTATATTTGATGTTACTTGTCACTTAGATACCCTAGCTATATCAGTTTTCCTCTATTCAATACATGTTTCAGTTTTTATGAAAGCCATTGACCACATTACTTGCTCTCTCAGGTTTGACCAGCAAAGACCTATGGTGCCCAGTCAGTCCATGCGTCCTCCACAACCTCCCAGCATGCAACAGCAGCAGCCGCCCAATCAAGAGCAGGGGCAGATGTTCGGCAACCGGTTTGGTAGTCCTATGCCTCGCCCCACAGGTCCTCAACAGGAACAGCAGCAACATTTTAGTGGTAACCAGACATTTCCCAATCAGAGACCATTCCCTAGTCAAGACCAGTTTGGTGGCTCTGGAGGCTATAGTAACCAGGGGCAACAGCAGCAGCAGCAGTCAGTGGCGCCCTCAAGTGGATTTCCAGCACAGCAAGGACCCATGCAGACACCACAGAAAAGGTTCCCTGGAGACATGGGGAGAGATGGATACAACATGCCATCAGGTATTTAAAAAAAAAATTCAGTACATACATGTCCCTTCTTTTAATTATGCATTTGCAACTTGTAAACCAACCTTTTTTTTTTACAGAAAAAATTATAAATCTGGTTCTTTTCTCTCTTTAGGTTTTGGTCAGCAAACTCCGCAGCAAGCCTCACAACCTCCAGGTAATATAAACTTATAGAAAGTTTAAATTTGGACATTTTTATTAGTTTTAATGTCACAACTGGTATTTGCTTTAATGGGTGGAATGTTATAAGTTGTGCACTTAAAAGATGTATGCACTCATTTCTCTAAATTGGTGTAGGATTTTTCTAGTACTACTAGAATTCTTTTTGATGGTAGATAATAGACTAACATGTCTAATTTATACTGAATATGTTACCTTTTTCTACATCCCTAATTTATATAAATATTTCTGCATCTGTAGGAGTCTTGTACCCTATGTGATAGACCTGTGTAGCTAACTCAGTTTTACCTTTTAGGTTATATCTTTATGATTTACCATTTCAGAACTAACTCTTCTTTTGAGTTTAACATTTCAGTCTGTTTGTTGATGCAGTCAGCAAACTGCACTGGTTTTGTATCTGCATGGAAATAATTTGTAGTTCTAGAGAGCATCATGGAATGAGGCACGGGTAAAACTACATACCTATTTAAGCCTGAAGCAACCTTATTCCAGCCCATGATGCCCTCTTATCTTACAGTAACTCTGTAGTTTTCTCTCTTTTAGATTTAACCTAACTCCCAGACCCATCCTACTTCTGCCAAGCCAAGGCCTGATCTGAGGGCATTTTTGTATCTCTGTATGTTTCAGGTTACTATGAGAGCCAATTGAGAAATGGTCCACGCCCAACACCAGATATGCAGTTTGATAATTTTGCAGGGGGAGTAGGAAACGGAATGTACTCCTTTCCTCCCACACCTGATCATGGTCCTATGACAATGTCTAATGATTTCACAGATCACCGCTCCCCGGGACGTGAGCAGTGGGGGAACAGATATGGCAGTGTGCACCCTAGGGGGTTTGGACCGGCTGGTATGGCCCAGCACCTGCCTCCTAACCAGTCTCCAGCCAGCATGCCAACACCGATGCCATATGGGTCCCAGACCATGCCAGCCAGGATGTCTCCACATAGGGATGCCAGGCAGTATTTCCAGTCTGGAAGGATGCATGTAAGTGGAAGAACCCCCCCTGGTATACAAATTTGATACATTTGATATGCTACTCTTACAAAAATATTTGATAATGTTAAATTTCATTAAGTTGTCCCATGTTTTGAGTACTTAAAATTTCTTACTGTCTTAAGTGAGAATAGTCTTTTACCAGAATGAAAAGAAATAGGAAAATAGATATGAAAGAAATAAAAACTTTTCATTATGATATTTATAAGATTAATTTATTATATCTGCAGAAGCCTGGCATGCAGTTTCCTAAAAAGGAGGTCACATTCCCACCTGAAAGTGTGGAAGCTGTCACCCCAGTGTTTGCTAAACGCAGGAAAATAACTGCAAAGGATATAAGTAAGTTCAGACAACATTATTCTTGATTATGGTAAAGTTTTGTTCACCTTTCATTTTGAGGATTAATTTATGTTATAAAGTTAACAGTAACTGAATAATGTTAACAAGATTCTTAAGCCGACTATAAACTAACGACCTTTATTTATGTATTCTCAGACAGTGAAGAGAGTCTGGATCAATTTTTCAGCTCCTGTTGACCCCTGGAGGCTAGTGATGTCCCTCAAGTCTGGGTTACTTGCAGAGAGCACCTGGGCTCTGGACACCTTGACCATTCTCTTGTTTGATGACAGCACAGTCACTTATTTTGGTCTTAACAAGTTACCAGGGCTAGTGGACGTTCTCCTGGACCACTTCTTCAGGTGCTTGGTAGAAGTCTTTGGAGATCAGTTTGAACAGTTGGGTTATGGAAAAGGTGACAAGTGTAAAATATCTGCATTAAAACAAGATGGCAATAATAGTGACGATGAGCATAAGGATGACTCTTTTGTTGAAGAAAGTGATGAAGAAAAAGCTTACAAGGCTGTCATTATGGACATAGAAGAGAGGAAATGTGAATCACTTACACAGCCTGATAATTACACTATGCTTACTAGAAATGGCTTAAAGGTGAAAGTCGAGGAATCTTCACCAGAAAATGGTGCTTTGGACAAGAAACTTTGGGACAGATACACAAGATTTCCAGATACAGGAAGTTTTCTGATGGGGTTTAGAGACATTTCTACTCATGTTCAGACACATTTTGAGGATGGGAATGCATATAATGTGTTGAAAGAGAAGTTTTTCACAAAGAAGCACATAGAAGTGATGGAGGAGGTCAAGAAAGAGAAGAAGGTTCAGACAATACAGGATGAGGAAAAAGAGAGCGAGGCACCTGGAGAGGAAGATGCCAAAGTGAAACTTGAGCCATCCAAACCTTCTCACCAAGATGTGATCACAAAAAATGAACTTGAGACATTAGATGTCAAAACTGAAAACCATGTCAATTGTGAAAAAGAACGAGCAAATTGTGAAAAGAGCATGGTGAAGAAAAATGACATATTGCCGCACATCCCTAACAACATAAAGAAGGAGTTACTGGACATAGAAGACATGGAGTCAAAAAGGAATGAAGTCAAGTTAGAGAACAAAGAATCCACCATGGATGATAAAACACATGAGCAAAATGACAAAGAGGCCGAACTTTTAAGTGAAAGTGGTGATAAACAGGACGATGGTGAACATTCAAAACCAATGGCTGAAAAATGCAATGCTTCTGAGTCTACTGTTAGTTTCTGCCGCAAGCGCAAGTTAGAAGATGGGGTAGAAGAGGAGCCCTATGTTCGTGATGAACCTCCCTTACACCTCATCTCTGATGCTCAAGAAGAGCTCACACGTAGGTGTACATGCATTTCCAACATTTTCCGCAGCTTGGCTTGTATTCCTGGCAATGATACTTACCTGTCAAAGCACACTGCTTTTCTCACCATCATGGGGAAGATTCTAACACTGCATGCAGAGAATTCTGTGTCTCACCACCAGGAAGGCAAAGATGAATCCAAGGTTAACGTCACTCAGTCTGCAGAACATGAGAGTTTGAGTGAAGATATTGTTGACGAGACCCAGGGCCGAGACAAGTGGTGGTGGCACTGTTTGGAAGCCTTGCGGGAGAATACTTTGGTCACATTTGCAAATATTGCTGGCCATCTGAATCTGTCCAAGTATCCTGAAGAGTGCTGCAGACCAGTTATGGAAGGTTTTCTCTACTGGGCTGTGAATTCCTCCGCATATGCCAACGATCCCATGCCTACTATGTCACCCAACTCCGTCCTATCACCCAAACGTCTAGTGTTGGAATCCTTGTGCAAGATGTGCATTCATGAGTCAAATGTTGATCTCTTGTTGGCCACTCCTCCATTCAGCCGCTTGATAAAGCTTTTCACAGGACTAGTAAGATTACTGTCAGATACATCAGAACAAGTCACAAGGGAGTTTGCGTTGGTGTTACTATCTAGTCTTGTACGTGGGGATGACAGTGCCGCTAGGGCCATTGCACTTCAACACCCCAGTATATCACTTCTCATAGACTTTGTTGAGAAGGCAGAACACAACGCTCTTCAAGTAGCAAACACTCAGGGTATTAACATGCTGCGGGACAACCCAGAAATGATGGGAACAAGTTTGGACATGCTACGTCGCGCTGCATACACATTGCTTTACTTGAGCCGCGTGCCGGAAAACCGCTCTTTGTTCCTTCACCACCAAGAGAGGTTACTCACCTTGACCATGTCACAGATCTTAGACCAGCATGTTGCCCAGATCCTGGCAGATGTGCTGTATGAATGCTCACACGTATCATGATAGACAGATGCATGAACACTTGCATCAGTATAGTCTGGTGCATAGATTGCTCTACAGTATGTACAGTCCATATAGCTCCTCTGAGGAAGAAAACAAAGCTTGGAGAGTTCTGTAGATATGTAATGTACAGTTCACCAAGTGTCCATTTATTCATTATCATCAGTACTAGAAATTTGTTTTTTTGTTGTTTAAGTGTTATTTATAGTTGAAAATCTTTGGTTGTAAAACAGCCCATTTACTGGTACTTTGATTTGCTCAGATTGAAATCAGTAAGTGGAATTTTTTGTTCAGAATGGGACAGAATTGAGTTAGCATTCAGAGCAGAGCAGACTGGTTTGTTGCACTTGCCAGAATGTAGAATTTGTAGTGATTTATGCACTATTTAATTTTTTGAAAGCGATTGAACAAGCAATGATCATGGCAGCAGCAGAAGTTCACTTGAATATTTTATTTATTACATTCAAAAAGCCCTGTGTCTGTTCGGATTTTTTTGTAGAATAGAAATTTTGCAACAGTTTAACATATAGTAAATTGAATAAACTTCACAATTTTGGATGATTGTCCAGTGATAAGATGTTAGACATAGTTGGTATTTAGCATTTGAGATGAAAGTTGTGTGTAAGTGTATGGGCATTCATTTCATCAGTTATTACATGTTTCTTGTACTATTCTATCATATAAGACACTACTACCAGCAAAATGTGCAAATGCTTTATATTTCTTTGAAGAATATGAAATGTAAATAAACATATTGTAATAAAGAAAACTTTGTTAAAAATAATAAACAGATTTGTTTATTCAGTATATAGAAAGTCAAATAAGAAAAAAATTAAAAATCTAATTTTATTGTCATCAAAACTTTGTTTGATGATGAGGCTCTTTTTCTATCCCTTAAATATTTATTACATTTTCTCGAGTGTCAAATATCATAGCTTTGTCTGGAAACGCCATTTCGGGCTACAATTCCCCAAAGTTTTCATTCTTGGTACAGTTTTCACAGTTCAATTCATGTCAATTTTGCACGGCATTGTGGTTCAAGTAAAACCACTTTCTGAAACGTACTACAAAATGTGCATCTTTAAATGTTCAGTATGCCTATCCTACATTTCTACAATTTGTGCTATAAAAGGAAAGAAATAAAATAATGAAATTATCAAATTTGTACAATATTCAATTGACCATTAATTTTATGCAGATCAAATGACTTAAAGGAACAAGAAAGATAAAGCTATACTCATCACTTGAGCATGTGATAGCAAAGATGGTGACTACAAACCTGGATTGTATATAGATTTATGTTCATCAATACTTGCATTTGTCATCACATCTGTCCATTGTTCATTTCATTTAGCAGTTACATGACCTGTTGTCCACTGTTTGTGATATACAAATGTAATTATCAACACAGCCATTTTATCCTATGTAAAGCACTTCATTAGGGACAAGAAGATCATTTGCTCTTGTATTTCATTTGCAAGATGACGAATACACTATAAAAAGGAATAGGCAAGTGTTAACCTCTTGTTAGTAAAGTACAAATGCAATTATTACCAGCCTCGGAATAATGCTATTATTGTCACTTACAAAACATAACTTCTGGTATCTTTCATGGGATAATTTTCTGGACAATCCATCCACAGAAGAAAGGGGATAGCAAGTGGGACATAAAAAATGCAGTCCAGCAACCGGCTAAGAAAAGAAGCTTCCCAAATGGGAACCCCAAATGATGCAATCATTACCAGTAAGTAATCCAGCATTCCCATTGTTCCTCCAATTACCCCTGCCAGAACAAATCCACCATGTCTGCCAACACAAGACACAAGTGCTGGGTAAATGGGTTGTCCATATTTCCTGTCAATTCTTCCTCTGAGGAGGTTGATGTAAACTACATATACCATGATCAGAAAGTAAAGTGCACATAAGAAATAATACCCAAACACTACTAGTCCAGTAAGCTCTCCCAAGTTGACAGCAAATGTCATAACTGTGATACAGACAGCCACTGCAATCAGTGATAACCAGACTGTTATCATCAGATAAAGATGATAGGGAGGTCTTTTCCTCACACAAATCACCACAGCAATTCTGAAATAAACACTGGCAGCAAATAACAAGAGCAAGTTGGTAACATAGCCCATGATCACAGAGGTTTGTACACTGGGACTCTGGATGTTGCCAGTGCTGTCTGTATTATTATTTATGGTTGCATTGTCATTTCTGAATCCTGGTATCTCTTCTTGTACCACAACTAGCACTGAGAATACAGTGTGAGTAATGAGGTACTGAGTATAGAGCAGCCACAGTCCACTGTTAGGTCGCTGCCGCAGGAGCACTATGACCATGGTTCCCACTGCACATGTGCCACCCCACAGGACCATGCCAATCCTGGATAAAGGCCACTCGGCACTCATGGTGCTACAAGTAAAACATAACAAATGTTCAACTATCAAAGGGTTAAATGAAAACTTGAGGTTATTCAGCATGTAAAATGGTGGAATTTCATCCTTTTAAGGACACACCCGTATTACAATACGTAAACCCAACATACTGAACGTAGATCCTACAGCAATCATCCTAATAGCTTCATATATCTTGGGTTAAAACATTCCTCCAAAAGAAATTAAAGCTGACAGAAGAAACATAACATGCAAGTTTTCTTACCATAAGTTAAAGAACTCTCAGCCAGATTTTAGAACTTGCACAAATATCAGTCGGTGGTCACCACTTAAAAACAGAAGCTTCCAGGTTACTGTCAGTTAGTGTCCTAGATAATGACACCTTCCAATCCAAACCTTCTCTCAACCCTCTGTTCTAACACAGGTAATCCCTGTGTACACAAACAATCACAGACCACCGCCCTGGTGTCCACACAATATAACCGTCTTTATCAGCAGGCAGGTCATAGTCACAGGTGAACTATGCAAACTACACAGGCATACATACAGAATCAAATTTATTTATTTCAATAATAATAATAATATCAAAATTTATTTCATGTCACAAAGAATAATATACAATGTAATTTAAAAAGATCACTGAAGAAAATTGCAGTAAGGGCAAGATATATTTTACTTTACAGACGTATCATTGATTTTTCATCAAACAACATCAGTTTTGTGAAGCAACATTCCTTATGACATAAATTATTGTCTAGGTCTTTCATATATTTCTGGATATCATTTTGTCAGTGAAACAATATTTTTATGGATTCAAATGCATACACTTTGGAACACAAATCTTGAAATGGAAAACAATTTTGACTTCATAAATAGTAACTATAACCTGTTCATGATACCCTTTCCCCTCAAGACAAGTTGAAAAACTGACTTTTTTTATCAACTTTCCACATGAAAGTTTTAAGTCCAAACCTTCACAGCTCACGTGTACCTTCACAGATCACATAGCCACATCTCTTTTCTCCCAATTTATGTTATGTTGGAATATGGATTGAGGACTTGGTCCTACACCTTTATGGGGATAGAATTAAGGGGGAATTCCAAGTACTCATCAACGGTGTTCAAAGCAGAAAGAAGCTGACACACCCTCATTAAAACTCAAACATAGAATACTTCAACTCTTTCCACAAGGAAATCCCTTCATTTTACAATATTTTGGAGAAATGTTGGTCTTTGTAAAACTAGATCTTTTCAATGAAGGAAAATTGTGAATTTTACATGTACTGTATTTTTTTAAAGCTGTAAATTCTTGAAAATACAACATTTCTACCGAGTGGCAGCAACAAAACTGAGAAGCAGGCTACTTTGAATGTAAAAGCACCACAAATGCTACACAAAAATATTATTGATGATTACAAAACTATTTATCTGACAATTGATAACTTCTCCCTGTTGAAAAGACTGTGTCATTACTGTACGTCATACTTGGTATCAAGCACTCTTATCAATAAGTTAAAATAAAATCATAAAATCCCATATGAATTTGGCAAAAAAAAAAAAAAAAAAAAAAAAAAAAAAAATAGTTACAGGGCCAAAATAAATCATCCAATACAATTAACTGCATTTGTCAATGATGAATCATTAGCTACTCAGTATAGGGTAGATGTTAAAAAAGAATGAATTTCAAATCTTTATTTACAAATTTTAAATACATACCTCACCTCATATTTGGTCTGTACCTATATTTTCCTTATGTCATGGTCTGTTTATTGGATTGATTACATTACTTTTGTACAATGGGCTTTCAAAAATACTCTAATCTGTATGCATATATCTTCCTTATGTCATGGTCTCTTTATTAGATTGATTACATAACTTTTGTACAATGGACTTTCAAAAATACTAATCTGTATGCATATATGTATACATCATTGTAAATGTTTTGTATCTATAATTCTCTGTACAGTTTTTAACAATGTATGCCCCATTAAGAAGCATTCTTCACACCAAAGTAAAACGTTTGACACAAACACAGAAACAAATAGTTTTGAAGTTTTTCATCTAGTATCTTTCATTGGAAAGTTTTCCGGGCAATCCAGCCACAACAGACATGGAATAACCAACGGAATGTAGAAAACGCAGTCCAGCAGTCTGCTCAGGAATTCTGCCTCCCATATGGCCACCCCAACTGCAGGTAGCACCACTATAAAATAGTCTATCATCCCCATTGTGCCTCCTATGACACCAAGCAGGACGTATCCAATGGGTCTTCCCACACAGGACACCCAGGGTCTAGAGGACATCAAGTGGTCATTTTCAGGTAGTAGTTCTCCTCTCAGAACACTGCAGTACACTTTATAAAGGCCCACTAAGGCAAACAGAGCACATGGACAGTAGTACACAAACACTACAATACTTTCCTGTTCTACTAGTTTTGCAGCATATGTAGTGATGGTCAGTACAATAGCAAAGACTGCGAAAGATCCCCATGCTGCTATGGTGAGATAGCGATGGATTGGCGGCATCATCCTGAAGTATATCACAGAAGCTAGGCGAAAGTAGGTGCTTGCAGCAAACAACAGCAGGATATTGTTGAAATAATTGAGGATTGCATTGACACTGCTGGTCTCCACTCCTCCCTGAATTACTTTCAATGCTGAGAAAATAGCATGAGTGGCTAGGTACTGCAGGTAGATGACAAATATGCCATTGCTGGGTCTCTGTCTCAGTAGCACCATGGTCAGTGCCCCCAGACCACAAGTAGTCCCCCACAGGGTATATCCTATCCTGGTTAAGGTCCACACAGAACTCATATTGATTCAATGCCACAATGAACTTGAATATGGTTGTTGGTACTGTATCTGTCAAGCTACACGTCTACAATGTATGTCTTTTTAAAAAGTTCTGAAAGAATGGAAAGAAAAGTTATTTTGTCTCTATATAAAAACACAGGGTATGTATAATGAATGTTCATTTCAAAATTAATAAATGCTTAAAGATAGGAAAGGTAATATGCCTGCGGTAAAAAAATGAAATTGTCTGCCAGTGAGCATTCTAAAATTCAATACAAATGAATAGAAATTGACAGAACGATTTTGCTGAAAAATAACAATACCCTGTAGACTACATTAACAAAAAACAGTAATAAAATTATAGAAAGGACTGGAGAAAATGCAGCAGGACAGCTGAAAGAGATGCTGAGATGGGGTGGAGAGCTTGGGGTAACAGAGGACAGCAGAAAGAGAGAGGGATGGATGCAGTGGAGAGTAAGGGGGTAGTGGAGAAAAGCTTTTTATCGTCTCTCCGAGAAAGACAAAGTCAGAGGGACAATATCAAGCCATCTTTAGTGTTGCTGTAGGCAAAACAGATAGTTATGTCCTACTAATGTTTTTATTTGAATGTTTCAAAAATTGTCAAACAAAACTATGCAAATATATAAATAAATAATCTGCACTGATCTGCAATTAATTTGCATTGAATTTGTCATTGATGGGTTTTCTAGTGTTTTAAAAAATCTACATGAACTGCATGTATTAAAAAAAAAACTAAAAAAATTCTTTTAATCCATGCAATTTTATTTTTGAAACTTAACCTCGTGACATGCACCCCAAGGCTCTATGTAAGGTTTGCCAACTTTGGGTGACAGCACTTATTACCGCCAGCAGGTGCGTGGATAGAATCGTATGTTTTCGCAAGAAAATTACTACCGGAGTACATGATACGCTCTTACCGTTATCCTCACCTCAAGGAAAATTGTTACATGGTCTTGTATTATAAAAAGAAAGGTTCTTATAACTGATTCTCTGCTTTGAAAACCGAAGAATCTAAGCTCCCAAGTATAACGCCATTTTGTTCGCACTTTGTTTACGTCTTGGCTTCTACATGTACTTCCGGAAGTGCGCAGGTATCGTGATCGTCACCGGTTTCGTTTGCTAGATAAGCATGCGAAAGAAGAGCACGATGCACCTCTGTATGTAGTATGGGAAGTTTTAACACGCAAGCTTACTTGAATATTTTAAGTTGGAATTCCTATATGGCTCACTGAAAATCATTGTTTTCGGTATAACAAGCGAAAAGTGACGAATATAGAATAATCCAGCTTTGCTGAAAGTCGTTAAAGGAAACCCTCGAATATACGGCTATTACGGCCTATTAGTCGTTACCGTTGCCATTTTAATAGATTGCTGAAACTACAGATACTTTATTTTTAAGTCATCATTTCTTAAATTGAGAACATTCACATTGAGTGGTAGCAACAAAATTGAAAGCATTCTATTCTACGTAGTAAAAGCACCACAAATACTATAAAAATATAATTTTTGAGATTATGAAAATATGCATCTGAAAGTTTGATAATTTTTACCCATTGAAAAGGTTGAGTAATTACCGAAAAAATGTAACTGGCACGGTTATTCAAATTAACTCACAACTTTAAAATGCCAATTTGGTGAAAAAATGAAAATTTCATGTCTTCAAGAAAAACAGTCCAATAAAGTTGTAATTCTTCTCATGACATTATTTAACATTTAAAACACTTTTTTGGAAAAAATGTTATATTAATCTTTTTAAACTTGCTCCCAAGTTTTGCAAGCTTGTCCATCCTCAATTGTCTTTATATATATATATATATATATATATATATATATATATATACATGTATATATATATAATTTCAGCATATAAAACAACCTGCTTTGTCACCTTCAAAGTCACCTGTCACAATCAATGAAAGTAAAGTCTCATTGTTTATTTTAGTTATTTTTATTGCATTTGGAAGTTTGTTGCCTTTTTTCTGCTTTGGAGGATGTGTATGGTATGCCTTTAACAAAATAACCCAGTTATTCATTTTCTAAAACAAATTTTCACAGATAAATCTAAAGACAAAGGAATACATCGTTTTTGTGAGCATAAGAAATATTTGAAAAAAATTCCAGAAAATGACCATTTCTTACATAAACTCCCATTGAAATTTTATTTTCCAAATCATATTTATAAGCAAGTCATCTGTAATATAGAAATATATTTAAAACATTATTATTACGAAAATTATTCAAATACAATTTCCTACATAACTTTATTTATTTTATCAAAAATTAAAAAATACTGGTAAAGTAAACATGTAGACAAATTAATATAAATAACAGATAAAAAGATAATACTGATTTATTAAAAGTTTTTCTGCATGCTTAAGTAAGTCATCCTTAAATCACTAAATCATAACTAGAGGATCAGAGAGGCGATACCGCCTCCGAATATTGTACCACCAGCTGGAGCAAGCGCATTCGTATAGACCCCCACATACACAAAATAAGGGACACAGCCACCAGTCTTGTGCTTGACAAGCTGTAAAAATGCAATTCACAAACATTTTCAAAATATGCAAAAAATATATATAACTAAAAATGGTACAATCAAAGTTAAGTTCATCGTAAGGTAGGTCAAAGGTCAATTTCAAGGTCACAGTAAATTGCCAGTATACGACTTCCTATTCAACTTCAATAGTAACTATAGACCTATCTCTGCCAGGTTTGGAGTTAAAAGAGAAAGAAATTAGCAGAGTTCAGTTCATGATAATAAGTAGGTCAAAGGTCAATTTCAAGGCCACACTTAGATTGCCAGTATATGACTTCCTATTCAAGTTCAATAGTAACTATGGACATATCTCACTAGTTTTGGAGATAAAAGGGAACCAAAAATTGCAAAGTTCAGTTCATGGTAAACAGTAGGTCAAAGGTCAATTTCAAGGCCACATTTAGATTGCCAGTATATGATTTCCAATTCAAGTTCAATAGTAACTATGGACCTATCTCTGCCAGTTTTGGAGATAAAAGGGAACCAAAATTTGCAAAGTTCAGTTCATGGTGAAAAGTAAGTCAAAGGTCAATTTCAAGGTCACATTTAGATTGCCAGTGTATGACTTCCTATTCCAGTTCAATAGTAACTATGGACCTATCTCTGCCAGTTTTGGAGATA